TCCTCCTCCTCCTCCTCCTCCTCCTCCTGCTCCTCCTCCCCCTCCTCCTGCTCCTCCTCCTGCACCTTCCCCTCCTCCTCGCCCGCCGCAGGCGCCAGAGTTCACACGTGATACAACGAGCCCGCCGTCGACGCCGAATTATCGTCGAGGCAATGTGGGGCATTCCAAGAAGGGCGCTGCCTTCGAGATTCGAAGGAGTTGTCATCCCTTCCTCGGCGGAAGGCGGCGGAAGGACGGCGGAAGTAAAACGAGGCCGCCTCCGCTGTCGAAAGGCGGCGGAAGTAAAAGATGTGCCCCCCAAGAGATGACAACGTTTTTGGGTTCAGAGTTTCCGACATCGGCCATGTAGTGGGTCGCGGGCGGGTTGCGGCTGGGTCCTGGGCGGGTTGCGGGTGAATCGCAGGCGGGAGGCGGGCAGGTCGCGAGCGGGTTGCGGGTGGGTCGCGGGCGGGTCGCGGGCGAGGATGGTGACAACAGTTGTCATGTTGAGATTTGTTGTTCGTCGCTGCTCGCGTGTCATCCAGCATGTATAACCGATCCTCGATACCCGCCCTCTTCGTATTCGATGTTACCCCCTTCTGGGGGGGATATGTTCTGTGCCTGCCGCGTGTAGTTGGCGCGGCCTCTAAAATATGAGGAGGAGGGGAAGGATACGGGAGAAAGCGAGGAAAGGAGGAGCAAACGAGGAAAGAGGGAGGCAACCAGGAGGGATGGGAGAGAGGAGCTATAATTTTGGCAGGCGGGCGCCGACGGCCGAGTCGGACGGGCTGACCTTGGTTGGCGGGTCGGGCGGGCGGGCCCCATCGGGTGGGTCGGGCGGACGGGGTCTGAAAAGTTGGCCGGAGGGTGTCCAAGCGCGCGGACCGGCGGACCGTAACGGGTAAGTAGTCGGGCGGGCGAATCCTACCGGGCGGGTCGGGAGGGCGGGTTCTAACGGGCTGGTTGGGCGGGCGGACCTTAGCGAGCGGGTCGGGCACGACATTCAAGCGGACGGGCTTCAAGCCGGCGAGCGGGCGGACCCTCGCGGGCGGTTCGGGCGGGCGGACTCTAACGGGCTGGTCGGGCAGGCGGGCCCTGACGGGCGGGTCGGGTTGGCGGTGCATTGAAATCAAGTTTGCAGATTGCGAGGAGGCCTCAGGCGAGAGCGCGACTCTTGGGCGTCGAGGGCGGGGGCGCCTGAATAAATTGCAAGGATGCCTTGAGCGAGAGCGCGGTCCGTATGTAAATTGTGAAGAAGTATGTTGTCAGGAAGTCTCAGGCGGGAGCTGTTGTTATTGTTGCCGTATACCAGGGGCCAGGGACGCAGCTTGGGCAGGACCATTTTCCCTGATAAGTCACAGGGTGCGAGGCCCCGGGGGGCACTTCCATTGAAAAACATTGTCGGGTCAGCCACGAGGGCGGTCGCCGACGCGCTCGGAAAGCTGGCTGGCCGCGCCGTGAGTTGAAAGAAAAACAGATGGCACTGGAAGCCGGGTGGCTCAACACCAAGTATTCTTCAGAAGTGAGACAACAACAATAATTGTAAGATTGATCGTTCTTATCTACTCGCCTGTCAATCAAGATGCATATCCCAGACCTTTGATACCCGCCCTCTCCGTATTCGATCGTTCCCCCCTTGCGGGTATATCTCCCATGCCACGCGCCGTTGGCGCAGCCCCTGAAACAGGAAGATGGGGGAGACAGAAAAAGCAGATGGCTAGGCGGAAAGGAGTGCGGAAAGGGAGGGGCAGATGTTGGAGGGACAAGGATGGAGCACGAGAGAGATCAGCAGGAGAGGGGCCGAGAGCAGAGCGCGTATGGTCCAGGGCAGGGCGGGCGGCCCTAGACGGCCGGGTCGAGCGGGCAGGTCGCTGGAGCGTCAGTCTTGCAGGAATTGCGAAGAGGTCTCGAGCGGTAGCGTTAGGTCGGGCGTGTCCCGCTACAGGCGAATTGTGGACGACAGCCAAAAATTCACCAAAAATGTTCAAAACTGGTGCAAAAATCGTCCCCGTGATTTTTCGAACTATGTTCGGATATTCCTCATGTAGTGGGACAGGCCCGACTTAACGATAGCCCGCTGCCTACGTAAATCGTGAGGAAGTCCACAGGTAGAGCGCGGTTCTGGAGCGTCAAGGGTGCGGCGTCCGAACAAGTTGCGCTCGGAATTTCTCGCGCGGGAGCGCGGTTCCTGGGCAAAGTGTAGAGAAGTCCCAAGCGGAAGCGCGATGTTTCAATCAATCACGAGGAAGTACCGGGCGGGAGCCGCTGTAAATCGGGGCGCAGTCTGGAGACCCAAGGCTTCCCCCTTGTAAAGAACACGGAAGGGTGCGAGCCCCGGGAGGGGCACTTCAAGTGAAAATCGCAGATGCTAAAGTCCTGATCCTCCTCCTCCTTCTGATCCTCCTCCTCTTCCTTCTCTACCTCCTCCGGAGGGGCATCAACAATAATCATTCCTTGAAAATGGTAGACCAACAAAGTCCCAACGAAAACAGACAACGACGATTTGTTGCCGCAGAAGCCCACTTCAAGCACACACACCAAGGGATGGTGTAAGACCGCTCCCTCCCTCACTTCGACCAGGTGGTCAACTTAGTCAGCAGCAGTCGTGTTGCGTCCTTGCACGACTCATCAAGCACGATATATCAGTCATTGACCGGCATCTCCCGGGTAAGTTTCATTCACCAAGCCTAGCTAATCGAGGGCAAACAACTACGATTCCAATCTGCAGCAAATCACGACCCTATGTTGACCAAGTCTCGCGGACAAAGCTGACAAATTGCCACGCTGAGCGAACCAAGCTTAATTCAGCTAACTAAACTAACCCTGCTTCCCTGACCAACCTCAGCTAGGGGAAAATCACCCACCAGACATAACCATCAAAGCTGAAATGGCCAAGCTTGAATTTTAAATCTTCACCAACAAAGCTCCACGCACTAGCGTGAATTATCCGCAGCCATCAACCAGGATGGACTTGCCAAGCTTAGTGAACCGAGAATTGCTGACCAAATTCCAGGTTAGGAGAACGGCACCAACCAGGAGTAGCCAACATTGCTTACCTAACTGAGCTTCACTTATTCAGCTGAACCGAACAACCTTAACGGACCCAGCATCACTAACGAAACTTGACCAACCAAGCTTGCCCAACGCAGCTTGACCAACCAAGTCTAGTTGGCCAGGCTGGACTAACCAAACTGAACTAAGCAAGCTGAGCTTACAGAACCCAAGCGAACAAATTGAACGTGTCAAGCTTTATTGGCCAAGTTTGAGCCTCCTGACGAAGCTTTACCAACCATACGTAACCAGCTATGCTTGACAAAGCATAGCTACATATAACCACTGCCGTGCAATTACAGCCCCTCTTCCGCAGTATACTTACAGCGCCCAGTTTCCTAAGGGGTGGCGCTACTGTTCCACACTGCGGGCAGCAAGGACGGGACGCTGGCGTTGGAGGACGCGTTGCTACCTCTCCTCTTCGCCCTACTCCTATTGCATCCTCTGCTCCTCTACCCTTTCCTCCTCATCCCTTCTCCTCCCTTCTCCTCCTCGTTATCCTCATCGTCCTCCTCCTCCTCGTTCTCCTCCTCATTCCGCTCATCTTCCTCCTCGGCCTGCTTTCGCGGGGCTTGCCGATTCACACTTGTAGCGAGATTTCCCAGCGATTGTTCGTCATCAAACTATCACCAGGGTTCAACACCCAGTGGATTATTGACACACGTCCGTTTCTGGCATCAGTGTTCAAATTCGCAGCAGTCTTAGCGCAATACTGCTTGTGAGCGTCTGGCTACAAGGGGCGCCTGTCCAGACAACCATGAGATGATTAACGCATATGAGCTTTCACATGTTGACTTCCACAGGTGGCCAAATTGGCCTCAGTGGCCGGACCTGTCCACAAACCAAAACCAGTTGCCAAGGCCGCATGGCCCAGCAACAAGATGCCAGGTGGCCAGGGGGAGGCGATCGCAGTGGAGTGGGCCCAAGAGATGGTGGCCTTTGGCGCCGCAAGTGCAGGGGCTCTGCATCGACAGCAGCACTGACAGCACGGAGGCTCCGGACGCCAGCGCGGAACAAAGGACCCCAGCAGAGCAGTTTTACAGCAGCAAAGGTGAAGAGGCGGGTCGAGGAGTGGGAGGTCGGATATATGGGGACAGGAGTGAGAGCACGGCCATACACTTGAATGCAGATTTGCCAGGGATCGTGGCCGTCCGGACCACAAATGTAGACGGCATTGAGGAGAGAGCGCGATGTCTCAATAAGTTGTGAGGAAGTCTCAGGCGGAACGAGTCCGGGACCAGGTGGTCTAGATTACTCCGTCCCTTCTGTGGGATTATTCAGACAACTAGAGAACCTTTTGGCGAAACGCTCTCAGGGAATGTATGTGGGCCTTCCCGAGGTGCCCGCTTTCCCGCGGTTGGTGGCGCTCGTAGGATCTCGTAGGAGCACAAGGCAGCGGACCAGCAGCAGCGTGCCGAGCCCGACGTGCAATGCGCAGACGTCGCTGGCAAGGAGAAGACCGTGGACAGCCCGCGCTCGGCGAGACCCTGTGGCCGGCAGGCTTCGAAACGCGGAGAGAGCGTTCGACCAGCGACATCGACACGAGCGCGCCTGAGAAGATCTGAGGAGTACATACTTCATCGGCGAAGGCGGTCAGGTATGCAGGCCGCCGTGCATAGCCGCGGGTCAACGGCAAGGCGTGCTCCACGGGCCACGCAGCCGAGGCTGACGCGGCGGATGCCAGGCCCGTGTGCGGATGGCCACGTGGTTGCCGACCAGGTGAGGAAGTCCAGACAGCCAGCACAACAAGGAGCAGGCGGACGAGGACGAGGAGGGAACGGAATTTCTACGATCAAACATGTGGTCCATGGCGCGCGACACCATGAGGCAGCAGCTACATGATTGCTGGATCTGTGTGTCGATCGTTTTGGATAGGAAGCCTTTCCCCACGACCCCGTTGGAGGGACGCTGCTGGCAGGAGGAAGAGAAGGAAAAGGGGGACCAGGAGGATGAGGAGGAGTGTTGGCTTCGATGCGGGTTGGACGGAGCGGCCGTCAGCATCGGCGTCAGGAGGAGGAGGAGACGAAGGCAGCAAATTCCACAGAAGCATGAGGCGGAAATTTCCCCCCTGAAGAAAGAAGGTCGCCGTCCAAATGTCGGCACCCCCGCCGAGCGAAGGACTTCGTCAAGGGCTACATGGCTTTCTTCGACAGCGCCCCGCGGGTGATTGGCGAAGGACCGCGGGGTAGCGGGCGGGGGGAGGAGGAGGAGGAGGAGGAGGAGGAGGAGGAGGAAGAAGAAGAAGAAGACAAAGAAAAAGAAGAGGAGGAGGAGGAGGAGGAGGCGCGTAAGCGTAAGGTCAGGCCAACGCACAACGAGGAGGAGGAGGACGAGGAGGAGGAGGAGGATCAGGATCAGGAGGATCAGGAGGACCAGGAGGATCAGGAGAGAAAGGAGAAGGGAGGAGGGAGAGGGGAGGAGGGAGGGAGGGAGGGAGGGAGGGAGGGAAGGAGGGAAGGGAGGAGGAGGAGGAGGAGGAGGAGGAGGAGGAGGAGGAGGAGGAGGAGGAGGAGGAGGAGGGAGGAGGGAGGAAGGAGGAGGGAGGAGGGAGGATGGAGGATGAGCCCCCAGGAGGATACCCCGGCGTGTGGGCGGCACGTCGGGGCTCCAGAGGTGCATTGACATCCGCCAAGAAGTCGCCTGCGCAGGGGCGGCGCGGCGGCCCAGGGGCGTCGGTGCCCTGACGGGCCTGGGGCGGCCCCCCCGTATTCTAGCGGTGGTCCTGTTGTGGTACGGGTCTGCCGTCTCAGGTCCGTCGGGGACTTGGCGTTCTGGGGCCGCGAGGGTACCCCCCCTGGGCAGCCGTGGGTATCGGTCCGCGCCGGCCTGCGTGGTACCTGCCTTTGTGGGGGCAGGTCCCAGCCATTGTATTGGCCCTCCCGTGACGTCGCGGGGTAAGGGTGTGGCTGGGGGGGTCGGCGGGCTCGGTTCAAGACGTGCACCGCCTGGCCCCCCTTGGGCAAGGGGGCCTGCGGGGGCGGGCCGGGTTACCCATGCGCGGAAACACGCGCCGTGTGCCCCGCACGGCGACGTGGGGTAATCTGTGCCCCCTGGCGCATGGGGGCCGCTCGCCTTCGGCGGGTCGGTGGTGCTCATCACGGTCTGCGTGGCGATGCTGGTGCCTCTTCGTTTTCCTTTCCTCTTCCTCCTCTTTCTCCCCCGCTCGCGCCTCGCCAGGAGGGCGTGGCCCCGAGCTCTAGGGAGTCGACGGCGGTGGGCGCGCGCACTCATCGCCCGCAATTTCGCGCGCAGGAGGCAGGAGGGAGGACGGAGGGAGAAGGACGGAGGAGGAGGAGGAGGAGGAGGAGGAGGAGGAGGAGGAGTATGAGGAGAGGAGAGATAGGGGGAAGGGAGGAGAGAGGATAGGAGAGGACGAGGAGGAGGAGAGGAGGAGGAGGAGGAGGAGGAGGAGGAGGAGGAGGAGGGGCAGCAGCTGCAGCAGCAGGAGGAGGCACGAATTTCTGCGTTAAGGAGAGCGACCCCATTCGACTGAGGAGAAGAGGGAGGGATTGGATGGGATAGGATGGGAGATGAAGGAACAGGGAGGAGGGAGATGAGGAGGAGGAGGGAAAGAAGAAGGAGGGGGACGAGGAGGAGAGAGGGAAAGGAGGAAGATGATGAGGAGGAGGAGGAAGAGGAGGAGGGTGAGGCGGAAGAGGAGGAGGACACAATGAGAGGAGGAGGACGAGTACAAGGGGAGGGAGAGGAGGAGGAGGAGGACGAGGAGGACGAGGAGGACGAGGAGGAGCCACGAACTTCTGCGCCAAGCAGGGTGACGCCATTCGACTGAGGAGGAGGAAGTGGAGGAGGACGGAGAGGAGGACGAGGAGGAGGAGGAGGAGGAGCAGCAGCAGCAGCAGCAGCAGGAGCAGGAGGAGGAGCAGCAGCAGCAACAACAGCAGCAGGAACAGCAGGAACAGGAGCTACCATCTAGGCGCGCTCGCGCCATATCTGACGTCCTGCTCCTCGCATCCATCCATTCCCACTGCTCTCTATATCCTAGAAGGCGTGTCACGGCGGACCCGGACCCCCCCCCCCAACAAAAAACCTTTCATCGTGTTATGCGCAAGCAGAAGGGGGGAGTTACGTACAGATGGGGGATGGAAGGAGGAGGAGGAGGAAAAGGAAAAGGAAAAGGAAAAGGAGGAGGAGGAGGAGGATCAGGAGGATCAGGAAGACCAGAAGATAAGCACGAGGTGGACCAAAGTAAACCCAACATGTATCAACCATGTTGCCTCCCGTCCCAGCCAGTGCGGGAGCCACCCTGTTGTTCAGTAGTGGAATGATTTGTTTAAGACGAACGTGCGCGTCGCCAGGGCGAGAGCCCCATTTTGAACACGATTCGCCCTCGATCCGTGTAATTGTTGGAAGCTTCAAGCGTCAATAGCACTAACGGTGAGGAAGTCTCAGGCGAAATGCCCGGCCCGCCCTAACGACACGTCTGGTGGTGTGACAGGGAGAAGTCCTGCAAATGCTTCTCACATTCCGCCAGCTACTGTATCATCGCTTGCGTTTGCTTGCGCGCTCGCGGGGGCTGAGAAGGTGGTGGGTTGATGGAGAAGTGAACGTCCCAACCAAATTTTCACCCCCAAAGTCCGTCAGGACGAGAGGGCAGTCGTCATGGAAAATATGGTTACGCCCGTGTTATGGTTTGCTGAGCCCTTTCCTTCGCTGCCGGGGCACCTGGCAATAATTGGGCCACTTCGGGAGGCCTTCCGGACGCCTCTAATGAGCTTTCTTGGGCCGCTTTGGGGCTGCCCTGGACCATCCGGGCCTACCTTAGCTATACCGGGGAGTGTTGGGGTTGTCTCGGTACCATCGTGGCGCTTGTAAAACATTGATCCTCGCACTGGAGCCCCCCTCGCACTGTGAACCATTGATCGCGGTCCTGGAGCCCCCCTGGAGGGTTCATGGGAGGCTCGTGGCGGTTTTCTGCTCCTTTGGAACGCATCTGAGCTCCACTTGTCTTGTAAATTGGGGCTATCTTGGTCGATTTGAGAGCCACGTTGAGGCATCAGGAGCGCAAGAGGACTAGAAGGCGATAAGTCCAAAATCAGTGAACAGTATGTGGTTGTTGAAGGGTGGTTTTGCAGCTTAGGGGTATTTTGCTTACCAGGGCTGTACTGGACCATCTTGTGCCACCTTAAAGCTATATTTACGTCGGGTGTGTCCTCCTACAGGCGGATGTTGGACGAAAAATTAAAAAAATAGTCAAAACAAATAAGCAAACGAGCGCGAAAAATCGCCCCCCATACTATTTTTTAACTGTTTTTGAATATTCCTCCTGTAGAGGGACATGCCCGACTTAAAGCTATCTTGGGGCATCTTTGCTTTGTTTCGGGACCAATTGGGGCTTCCCACCCACTGACCTCCGCTCTTGGGGCCGGCCCCGCTTGGGCTTTTATGGGAGTTCTCTTGGAGCCTTTCTGGGGCGCTCCTGAGAGTCAACACATGACAAGAGGCAGTGGCCTAGCAGCCGCCTGCCAGGAGCACGCAGAAGTTGAGGGGGATGCGACGACGGAGGACGAAGCAGCCAGGGATGATGACGAGGAGGACGAGGAGGGAGCAGGAGCGAAGACGGAGGAGTGCGAGGAGGACAAAGGATGAGAGGAGCAGGAGCGCGAAGGAGCAAGGACGGAGGAGGAGGGGGAGGAGGAGGAGGAGGAGGAGGAGGAGGAGGCGAGGAGGAGGAGGAGGAGGAGGAGGAGGAGGAGGAGGAGAGGAGGAGGCGAGGAGAGAGGGGAGGGGAGGAGGAGGGAGGAGGAGGAGGAGGGATCGGAGGAGGAGGAGGAGGAGGAGGAGGAGGAGGGAGGAGGAGGAGGAGGAGGAGGAGGGGAGGGGGGAGGAGGAGGAGAGGGAGGAGAGGAGGAGGAGGAGGAAGAAGAGGCCAAGCAGCAGCAGCAGCAGCAGCAGCAGCAGCAGCAGCAGCGGCAGAGGCAGCAGCGGCAGCAGCAGCGGGAGGATGCGGGAGGACGTGGAGCAGAAGTGAAGCAAGGGTTGCCGTGGCAGAGGAGCCCCGGACGGCTCCAAGGCGGAGTGCAGCTTGCAGTAGGCCGCAGGCCTCGCGCCGTTGCTCCTTTCTTCTTCATCCTGCACCTCTTCCTCCTCCTCCTCCTCCTCCTCCTCCTCCTCTTCCTCCTCTTCCTCCTCCTCCTCCTCTTCCTCCTCTTCCTCCTCTTCCTCCTCCCCGACAGCGCCGATTTGGGAAAGTCAGTAATTGGAAAGTCCTCCTCCTCCTCCTCCTTCTCCGCCTCCTTATCCGCCTCCTCCTCCTCCTCCTCCTTCTCCTCCTCCTCGTGCCAATGCTGCTCGACACTCCTCTCGGGGAGTCGGCTGAGGACGCACGGGCTGCCACTTAGGGCGTGGGATGCCACACCTCTCGAGCGCCCCAGCGGAGCCCCCAGTGGTGTGATCAGCGGGCGACAGTGGCAACAAGTGGCCAGCAGGTTTGTTGGCCTCCAGGACACTGCCCGGCGGTCCTGCTGTCATTCCGCACCTGCACATTTGAGGTGCCGACCTCCAGGACACAACCTGGCGGCAACGCTGGCGGTCTTATTTACCCTCCACACGTGCGCGCAATCACCTCTGATCCCGTCCTCGCCTCTCCTTCACCCCCCTTCTTGTTCCTCCCACGCACTTGCTTATGACACGTCGCGCGATGGCCGCGGCCAGCACGCCTCACTGCACCGCCACTGTGCCTCCACGAGGCACTCTGGGGAGGTGCGTGTACCAGCTCACCTCTGGCCTGCTCAGGTGGCCCTGAGTCGGTCGAAGCCGTTGCGGGCGCGGCAAACCCACATTAACCAATCAAGCATGTTCCCGTCCTCCCCTTCCGTTCCCCCTTTTTCCTCCTCCCACGCTTTTGCTTATGGCACTTCCCGCGATGGTTGCGGCCAGCATGTCGCATTGCACCGCCGCTGTGTTTCCACGAGGCACTCTGGGGAGGTGCGTGTACGGGCTCGCCACTGGCCTGCTTGGGTGGCCCCGAGTCGGTGACAGCCGTTGCAAGCCCGGCAAACCCACATGAACAAATCCGCTCTGTTCCAGCCTTCCTCTGTTGTAGGAGGAGGAGGAGGAGGAGGAGGAGGAGGAGGAGGACGGCGAATAGCGCACGATTGCGCTGGCTCAGCCCGTCCCCTGGCGGGGTCGCGAGTCAGCGTCTGGCGG